CTGGTGGGCAGAGGCGGGCTGGGGGGCGGGTGTTGCCAGGGCACGTCCCGGCCGGCTCGCGGCTGCAGGAGCTGGTGCGTTGTCCTCCCCGGAGCGGGTGGCCAGGCTGGTCACCAGTGTGGTTGGGCCCTCGGGCATGGATGCAGTTGGACCCCAGAGGTCTATGCCGGGTCACTCCTGCTGCACTGCTGCTTTCCTGTGCTTGCGGTGTAGACTGCAATAGAGCTTCTCATTTTGGTGCCTTGGGAAGTTTTGTTCATCCATCGCTGCTGAAGTCTAGAGATCCTTTGCAATACGGCTGTAAACGCTGGAGGCTGCAAGTGGGAGTCGAACAGCGGAACAGATCCAGTTCGCTCTCCATCGGCGTCTGCTTTCCACTGCCATGACGCGGGATACTGGGCAGATGGACCGAGGACAGTGCTTATGCTCTCAGCTTTCATGAACAAGAGCTCGCTTCATCTAGTGTTATAGGGACTTCTTATAACTGTAGGATATTATTTGGTGTTTGTTGTTCATGCAGCATTTTATTTTTATAGTTTCTTTTGGTAGGGCCTAGAGTCAGCGTTAGGGGAACTGTATCTTCTCATTAGCTTGTTTTCCCCACAGCGCAATGTCCCTGTTGTTTGCTCGCTCCAAGTCCATAGTTGCAGTGAAGAAGGATAAAAGACACATGGCTGAAGTAAATGCTTCTCCGCTCAAACACTTTGTAACTGCCAAGAAGAAGATCAATGGCATATTTGAACAACTGGCTGCGTATATCCAGGAAAGTGCCACTTTCCTGGAAGGTAAGCTGTGTAACTTGCTAACACGTGGACAGGAGTGCTTTGTTTATTTCAATACCATAATTGAAAACTTCTCCTATGTAAGGGGGTCGTGTTTGTTTGTTTTTTAATTTCCTTGAATCCCTTGGCTTCTGTCTGTTTAGACAGCTTGTTGCTGGCAACCTGTGAAGGTCACACATGCCAACTTTTTGCCATTAATAGCTTAAGGACTGGACAGCAGTACATGTAAGGAACTTGGAGGGGTTTGAAATGTCAGTTGTGTGCTATTGGAGGGAGTCTGGAGAATAAAGATCTTTCGAGCTCTGAGACTAAGGCGCTGGCTACTGGCAAGTGCCCAGGCTTCAGGGCTCAAAACAAAACGTACTTGTGTACGTGACCTTCAAACCAGTCTCGGACTCGGTTTCAGTCTCTAAGATTCAAATAAACACCTGGTTAGTTACATTCCAGGGGCATGGATTAGATTCCCTAAATTTCTCAGCTGGCTTGACCATGTGCCACTGATTAATTACTCTGAACTTCAAAGGGGCATGTTACTATGGTTTCAGAAATTCACAAGAATGTGGAGCTTGACCCTGTCACCACAGAAGAGCAGGTAGTGGAAGTCAAAGGTTACCTGTCAAAAGTCAGTGGCATCAGTGAGGTGTTGGCCCGACGACACATGAAAGTGGCTTTCTTTGGCAGGTGAGTTGGATACATTTGGTTTATTCCTGCTCCCTACTTGACCTAATAACCTTTGCCTTTGGGATCATGGCAAGTGAAAAATATTTATAGGGACATGGATATTCATATGTGACCTGTGAAAATATCTAGTGGTGAATAGCTTTGGTATTCCTGTTTGTCCCCCTGCTGAGTTTGAAAGACACTTTTAAAATAAGAAAATAACAGTTGCCTGTGCGGACTGAAGTGGTAATAGTTTATGGAGCTAGCTGGGATAGGGGATTTGAGTAGCCATCTTGTTTAGAGCACAGCAGCATCTGGGAAACCCCACTGATCCATCCTTTGTCTACCCCCAGGACAAGCAATGGCAAAAGCACGGTGATAAATGCCATGCTGTGGGACAAAGTCCTTCCCTCAGGGATTGGACACACCACAAACTGTTTCCTCCGTGTGGAAGGGACAGATGGCCATGATGCTTTCCTGCTTACTGAAGGCTCAGAGGAGAAGAGGAGTGTCAAAGTAGGTGCCTAATTAGTGCAAAATTAAAAAAAAAGATGACTGTGACCTGCTCTGTGTGAACCCTAAGGAGGGAGAACAACTGCTGAAGCCAAAAATAGTGTTGACCCAGGAACAAATGAATATAAGACTGTCTGTGAATAAATCTAGGCTGGGAACCAAAAAGAAGTTTTGGCTCATCAGATCTGTGAGCTTCTGGAGCTGGAATAAACTAAGTAGTTTTAAAACAGAGTTTGCTCAGGTTATGCTGTTATCTGATAGGAGAAGACTGGCCTTGATGGCTTAGGACTTTTCATCTCATTCTGTGTTCCTTGTGGAAAGGAATCGTTGTCTGATATGGAAAATCCCAGTTGTGCAGGGAAGGGGCAGTTCTTTTACAGGACTGTTCAGAAGTGCGCATCTCTTAACAGAGGTACCAGGCAGATTTATGTTCCTTCACCCAAAGGGGGAAATGTCCCAAAGGTGGGTCTTTGACTTAGTGTTTTCCATGAAC